GGATATCGGGGGTATGGGGGAGAGGGTGGATTCGAGAATCACAAGGTTTCTTTGTGATACTCGCGAGGTTGAGCTGCTATCCTGATGCCAAATTTGGTATCGGGATAGCAGCCGAGAGGCGGGTTGCTAAAAATTTTGAGTGTTTAGCAGCCCCGGTGGAGCTGCTAAATCGGGTTTGCGCTGCTAAAATTGGTTTAGCAGCGCGGTTTAGCAGCCGCGGTGGAGATGGTCTTACATATCTGATTTGATCATCATCAAAACAAGTCTCCAAAGGGGCCAAGACTTCTACATAGCTTGAATGATCAAAAAGTGCAGACACTAGTACAACCAGCTGTATGGTGTAAAGAAAGACCTTGCAGGGGATCATCAGGTGCAGGAGAACTGATGAGTTCAGAATAATTTCTGGCCAAGCTTCAGGGTTTAAGACTTATTTACAATGGCAGTACATGATACAACAGAAGGTGAAAACAACATCCATATACAACTGAAGGCAGAGTGAATCAAGTGACAGGTGGCCGAGAGAGAAAGAGAGAGCACCCTGTGAAATTCCAAGTGAATAAGCTGCATAAATCAAATTCAGTGACTTGAGGCTTTCAGATCTGACAGGAAAGCCATCCAGTTATTTCCTTCAATTTTCCTTCTAATTATCTCTCATTGCAGGCTATCTCATGATCTGGGATGGGAGAATCTGAGACTGTCATACACCTTGACACACTTTGGTATGGTCCAAAATTCAAATACCCTAGTATTGGAATCAAAGTCACATGATATGTCACTGTGATTCTGGCTTTTGATAATTCTTTAATTCAATGTTTTTTGTTTTCCTTGTCTCTGATCTTTCTCTATCTCATCAGGGATATGAGAATCAGAGGCTGTAATATCAGGAATTGCCACCTTGATACACTTATGGTATTCAAAGTTGAAATGCATGAAATCATAGAGTGCATAAATCATATAATCATAAAACATTTTGGCTGGGAAAGCCAAAGCTTACATAATCAGATTACCAAGATCCCCTGCAAACAAGGTTTTAAGATCTTATGATTTATGCGGTTATGATTTCATGCATTTCAACTTTGAATACCATAACTTCAGTGTTGTCCAAATCACCTCTTTAAAATCAAACTTATTTGAATAAATATTTACATGATATGACACAGTCATTTTGGTATTTCCTAATTACAAGTTTTTTCTTGTGTCTCATCTTGGTCCATACATTACCAGGGAGGTGAGGACCAACAGCTTTACATCAGAAATTCAAACTGGATACACTTTGGTATAGTATAGCTCTCCTATTTAAAATCACAAGCATTTGACTAAAAAAAAACATACATGATATGCCACAGTTATCCCAGTATCTCCTAATTAAGCCCACCATTCCACTACACTCCAATATAAATATTCAATCAACTTCTGTCAGCTTATATGTAAGTAATAGAAAAACAGCATAAAATTTCTCAAGACCAAAAGACACAAACTGAAAGAAGGACAAGATCAGAAAAAAAAAGATAACAATGAAACAGAAGATAAGGCATACCCAAGTAGATTCTTAAGATAAAAAGACAACTGATTTTTATATATTGTTTAACGACAGGAACAAGAGGAAGATACAAGCTAGAGAAGAAATCATCAGCACACAAAATAGAGGAAAAATGAATCCATTCTGAGAGTTGTAATTCTTTTCACCAAATTGAAGTTCAGCACTTGAGATTTGAGAGCAAAGCTTGAGGATGTAGAATTGATGGTTTTTGGAGGAGATTATTGAGAGGGAGAGGATGGATTGTGTTGAAATTGTGAGCTCAAGAGCACCAAAGGATGAGGGCCAAAAAAATGAGAGTCTTATTTTTGGGGAGGGCTCATGGAAAAAGAGTGTAAAGAACCAATGAGTTTTTATTCACTTGTAACTAGCCTGGGTTTAAGTAGACTAAATACAAAAGGACAAACCGTGGCTGAGAGAAATGAATAGCAAAACCATTTTTAATCAACTACTGAGAGGAAGAAACATCAGTCTTTGGAAGAAACAAACCGTACAAAACTTCTCAGTCTATTTTATTCAAGCCAGACAGATGAGTTAATCAAGAAAAACATGCTATAAACCACAGATATTTAGAGTCGTTAATTCTAAGTAATCAGACTTTATTAAATCAAACAGAAATATAAGGAAAGAGAATAAAAAATCGTAGAGACATGAGTTGTTGAGAAGAGCATTACTTAGGGTTCATATTTGACTCAAAAGGGGCTTAAAAACAACAAAAAAACAAGCTACTTGATGAGTATAATCTAGTCTTATTTTATGATGACTAGACAGGAATGAAGGGCAGAGAGAGACAGAATGAGGAAAATTAAACAGATTGTTGGAAAGAAAAAGGAGGATTGTTGAGTATAATATTGAGGAGATCAAGATAGTGAAAGAAAGAGATGATGAGGAATAAGATTGAGAGAGGGAGGGAGAGGTTGAAGAGAAGTAGAGACTGTGGTGGTGGCCGGTTGTTAGGTTTCAGTTAGGTTTAGATTCAAATATTGAGTTTGTGGAGGCTTTCCATTGGACTTCTCAAAGTCAGTCAAGTGATATTTCAACACTAAGAATTTTAACTCACACCTTCAATGAAATTATAAACTAAAACACCAAAAAGTATGATTGCTTTAGCTTAACACAAGTACAGGGCATATCATTTCAATGTGTGATGTTGCAATGGATTATTCCAGACAGTGAGATTATAGATATTGAATGGAAAGATCACTGCAGAAGAAAAAGAGATGAGTAGTGAAAGAAAAACATCTATCCAAAGAGAGAGAGAGAGATTACGACTTGGGAGGGAAGGAAAGAAAGACATCAAAATTGTCTATTTCAACATGTGAGATTGTGTAAGTATGAAGAAAAGAACTTCCACATCACTGATGGACCAATATAGTCACTACATCAAAGAGGGTTTCCAAATTATGTGATGTGGAAGTGAAAGAAATCAAGAAATGGAAGCATGGTAATTAACAGTAAATCAACAGATGAAAATCATTTGCTTAGTAAGGTTTCTCCCCACTCAGTGATGGTTATTGTCTTACTTGATTCCATCGAGCATTCTCAGCTGATAAGCCCAATTAACCAGTGGATGAATATCAATATTGTGCTGTTCTACTAGTATTACCACTCTGACAATTTTCATGCAAGAGACTAGAGCTAGATAGCTGTAGAGTTGGATTTGAAAGGAATGCAAGCGACTTGATGTGCAAAATATTAAATACCTTGGAGGGAATGCAAAACTGATAATCATCAGTTCTCACTCTGATTCTTCACTGCTTGCCATAAGGCTATCGTCCACTACTGTTTGGACAATCTTGTCAAGGTGTGTAATCTGGATGCTGGCTTTCTGCTCGAATGTGCTTTATGTAGGAAAAGAAGACTGGATGAATGTTAGACTTCATTGAGGAACTTGTACTGACGCACAATTTTCGGTTTGCAGAACCCCAACAAACTGGATCCGATCTGGCCATCAGAGCGGGCTTTGGCGGACGAGTCGTGTGAGCTGGAATCCGTCGAGTCGGATCGGGATGTGCTGTGAGCTCCATAGGGAAAGTTCAAATGTACAAATTACCAACTACATACATACACCGTACCACTATGGCAACCTTCAACATTCTGCGCCAGACAGCTACTCAAGTGCTTCGAACATCATCATCAAAGTCTAGCCGCTTCCCAGTCTTCCTGCGCAAATCCCAAACTGGAGGCTTTGCAACTCAAGCCTACAACGAGTCGATCGATTTGGCTGGATTGAATGAGCAGCAACTCGAAGTCAGTATTAACCTCAACCCATTGATTTGGACCCACACTACCTACATTTCTTGGATATTGGACTGCACGGTTCAGTAACTGATGGATTTGGTTTGATTTATTTGCCTTTGTATATCAGCTTCAGGATGCAGTTCGCAGCTTTACCCGTCGGGAAATAGCCCCCATCGCGCAGAAGGTTGATCAGGAGAATCAATTCCCAAGTGTATGTCTTTCCATTCTTTCAATCCAAAAAAAAAAACGTGTGCCATGATCTGCGCCTCTGAAAATAAATCACATTCGCACACATGCCTTTTCTGAATATCGTAGCACCTCTGGACAAAATTTGGCGAGATGGGTATAGTTGAGCTCTTTGTACTATGATAGTTATTCTGGAACGTCCTTCATCGCGCTGAATATGTCTCGTCTTATCATCGGCAAAAAGCTGGGGATTACTGTTCCCGAAAAGTATGGGGGCCTGGATCGATCTTACCTAGAACATACTCTAGTAATGGAAGAAATATCACGTGGTTCGGGGTCAATAGGCTTGTCCTACGGAGCTCAGTGAGGATTTCTCCTCGAGGCCATACGCATTGCTTCCTGGGCTGATCAAACGCATTCCCGTTCAGCTCCAACCTGTGCATCAATCAAATCAACAGACATGGCACCGAGGCTCAAAAGACTAAATATCTTCCTGATCTGATCAGCGGTAAGAAGGTTGGATCCTTAGCTATGAGTGAGGCGGGCTCGGGGTCGGATGTTGTTTCAATGCGGTTAACTGCAGTCAAGAAAGAGGGAAGATACATCCTCAATGGAACTAAGTTTTGGTAGGCTTTCAAAGAAAACTCACCTAAGAAAGAATTCAGACTTGATTGCTGAGAATTCGAAGATGTGTCACTAGGATCACCAACGGGCCTGATGCATCAACCCTTGTAGTTTATGCCAAAACTTCACCTGAGAAGGCTCATCGTGGGATAACGGCATTCCTGATCGAGTCCAATTTCCCTGGCTTTTCGACTCACCAGAAGCTGGATAAACTAGGGATGAGAGGATCAAATACATGCGAACTGGTTTTCGAAAACTGTGAGGTGCCCGAAGAAAACGTTCTTGGAGAAGTTGACAAGGGCGTGCAGGTTTTGATGAGTGGGCTTGACTTGGAACGTCTCGTGCTTAGCGGCGGGCCCTTGGGATTAATGCAGGCAGCATTTGATGTTGAGTGCTTGACAGGAATCCTCAAGGCAGCATCAAGCTCGGCAACTTACGTTGTTTCAACTCGATTTCCTGATTAGGTTGCCCTACCCTATGTGCACGAGAGAAAGCAGTTTGGCAAGCCCATTGGAACCTTCCAATTGCTACAAGGAAAAATTGCTGGTACGCGTGATTCCTCGATCAACCTGGCCACTCCATTATGTAGATACTGATCAGGATTTTTTTTTGACTAGACATGTACACCAAGCTGAACGCCTCAAGATCATATGTTTACGCAGTCGGCAGAGCTTGTGATCTTGGTAAAGTCAGTCGACGAGATTGCGCTGGTGCGATTTTGTATTCCTCAGATCGCGCTTTGGAAGTTGCCACTGGTAATGATTTCTTTTGTGTCTAGTGTGAAGCTGATGCCAACCTGCTGAAATCGTGTTTTTTTACATGTTTGCGAAAACTACTTCGTTCTGTCTGTCAGACGCAATGCAGATGCTCGGAGGAAATGGCTACATCAACGATTACCCCACCGGTCGTATTTTTCGAGACGCGCAATTGTACCGAGTTGGTGCTGGGACACAAGAAATTGTAATCTATTTTTTTCCCCCTTCTTAGTTTTGGTTCTGAAAGAAGCTGACCGGTTGGTGTGATTTGGTTTTGATAGCGTCGAATGCTAATTGGACGCTCTTTCAATGAAGAATACAATGACGATATCTAACGCGTATCCTGCCGGCGCTTGCGTAACCCCAAACAATATCATTGCCAATCATACGTCTTGTTTATCCTGTTGTCGTTTATCCTGTTGTCGTTCTCATTGTGATCTACTGACAGAAAGCTGCCAGTTTGTGATTGCAATCTACATGACTTCTACGCAATCCTGTAATTGTATAGCTAGCTGCTTTGTACTTTGTAATATATGCGCACTTGTTCTCACAAATCATCAGTCAAGTGATATATTTCCTCTTTTCAAGAGGCTTTTTTTGTTTCTTTGCCGCTTTTCAATACATAGCTCTATCCCACCAATCTAGTATGACAATATCCGTCTTGCAATGAATGAGATCACCCAACTGTATGAGACAGTGGCAGCATCTTTTTACTGATCCAAACACCTATGTCAAATGATCTTTTTTGTCTTGAACCATTTCACGCTCTCAAAGTGAACTACTGGCATCGCACACCCCATGTCATTCGGAGTTGTAAGAAAGGTGTTTTTTTCTTGCTTGAAATTGCAGGATTTTTCTTGCTATTGATAATCGCCAGGTATCTTGCAATAAAACGGGTGCCGCTCCTCTCTCCCTCCATTCATACCTGATGAGCAGAGGGGTCACCCGGCCACCAAACTCCCAGCATTCCTGGCGCCATGGGCCTGCGACCAACCATCACCTAAGGAATGTTCATCCAATCGCAATTTGTTCACCTTGTATCGCCGTGTCCAGTGTCCTGCGTGCTGGTGAGAAATTGTATGTATGGCTCAAGAGTTGACAAGATTGAGTCGACGAGCGTCCAGCAGCATGTGTCTGGGAGTGTCCCAGTCTCCAGAGAACTGTTGTTCATAATTATTCTCACCACGCAATCAACAATGCCGTGGAGAATGATCCATCGTTTATCATGCACGTAGAGAACGCACACTGTTGCCCAGTTACCCCCAAGCCCATAGTAGACTTACCTCCTCCAACACTCAATCCCACTGCAGATGCACCTGTGGCCCGGTCCATGGCATCGAAAAGGACTCGCAGAACGTTCATCCGGTTGACTATATAAAGCGGCACTCATTCGGGTACCATTGGCCCATCTCCATCCACTCATCCACTCACCGTTGAATATAGTGTATCCGCCTATCAATCTAAATATCCCTCCAAAACAACTTAACACCCCTAAAATTCACAATGGTTTCCTTGACCTACTTGATCACCCTTCTCTCTGTCCTCGTCGCCGTTTCTCGTGCCGAAGAGGTGACTACCGTCAAGAATGAAAACGTGGATGCCAAATGGCGGGGCGGATATTTCGGATTCAACAGCATGTATAACATGAACAGCTGGTCCGCCTACAGCGGTTTGTCGATGCAGCTCATGGGTGGTTCGTGGCTCAACAACTGGGCCGGAATGCTCCCCGGCTGCTCTGGAGGACTCCTCTTCCCGTCGAGCTGGGTCATGAACGGATTCTTTGCCAAGGCCGCCGAAGAGGCTCACAGCGTCAGCCGCCGGGCCATCACCCTCGATGCCGAACAGCTCTTCCGTCGGGACCAGGTCGCCGACAGCGCAACCTGTCTTAACAACAAGGGAGTCCATGAGGTTTACTCTAAAACCGACTGTAAAAAGTACGTTCAACTTCGCAAGCCCTCCCATCGCTATCTCATTCACTAGCTGATCTTTCCTCTCGTCCTACTTCTTAGTGCTGCCAAGATCTTACATGAGAAAAATGTCCACACTGCTTCCAGTGGAAACTGCCAAGTGAGTCCCACCCCATGCCCTGACAATTTCGCTCTCTAGACTGGATTTATTAATAATGACAGCCTTATATCCTACTTTCTTGAACGTACAGTTGTCTCTCTACACTGCCAAGGAGAAAGTTTATGCCAAACAACTGTAAGCAACCTGCTCAGCGCTTCCATCAAACTTCTTTCATCGTCGAGTCATATCCGCTGCAAGACAACTAATTCTATGTGAGATGGGTTTGGTGTACTCTAGCCCGGACCAAATGCTCATGAAAGCCGCCGACCGCCTGTTGAGTACTTGCGGCGAAAAAGCAAGCCAAGCTAGCTCTAAACAATCGCACCCCGAGGACAACCAGGTCGCCATGCTCCTCTCCAGACCGTCTCACAAGTAAAATTACCACTCAGTCGTACCTTTCAACAATCGTAGTAGCTCATGTTGTGTTGATCTAGAAAGTTTCCTCTTTTGTATCTAATCCTCTGTGTATCTAAAAGTATCACTAGAATCTTGCCGGCGTAGTCAAATTATTATTTTTACCAGTGCCCAATTTTGCCCAAAACCGTGCTTTCTGAGATACGATGGTACTTGTCTTTCGAGTCTACTCATGACCGACTCTTAAATATGTCAAAGGCAGCAGCGGAGGGTGGTTTGGATTCAGACCCGCGACTTTCGGTACATAGCCACCAGGGCCCTCTGAAGCGAGGGGCTGGTGATGAGTCTGGCTGAAGCAATAGCAGGTATCATCTAATGTTGCGTAGCTTCAACTCAGATTTCTACCTGCGTTACCCAGCCAGGTGATATTTCATAATCACAGTCTTGATGCTCGATGCACCGCCAGACCGCAAGTTGCGGGAGACATCGAGCCGGCTCCAATTTTGAGTGACTTCCTCTGATAATACTACCTGATCCGAAGTTGGCATCTTGGCTGCAGAGGACCAGCTCTTACACACTAAAGACAGTGAATTCAATTTTCGAATTCTACTTTTGATACAACAATGCCTAAGATTACAGGTTTTTCTTTTTTCTTTTTTTTTGTTAGAAAAATCTCCAAAGCTGCATCCAGAACATATTTTTTTTTGACCGAAAGAAGAAAAAAAATATATAGGAAGAAGGATTGATGGATGAGAGAAACACACAGTCAGTAAGGAATCTTCTCAAGTCAAAAAAAAGGGGGACATGGAATAAAAAAGAAAAAAAAGGAAAATCCAGAAGAATAAAAGATGAAAGGAAGATTAGGACTTCACAGATTGAGGGGATTTGCAATCTTTGAAGATCACCCAAGCTTCACACGCCAACCAAAGCACGGGCAAGCTACTGAACGAAACGACGGAGATCCAGAAGAGATTCAGGTTTCGAGGCCAATCGAGGATCACCAAGACTGAAGGCAACAAGTAATGGAATAATAATAACTACAAAAACAAAAAAACAGAGGACGATAAGAAAAAAAAGAGAGTTCAACAAAAGCTGGATAAACAAAATAGATGGGGCTGTGTATGAAAGAGAAAGACTGAACTTGGATCGAGTAGAAGAAGATCGGCGCCCGGCCGAAGATCAACAATGGGTTGAAGGTCAACAGAGCTTGCGGCAACAGATCGAGCAGGGCGAGCAGGAGGAAGATCAGGGTGCTGGCGAGAGAGACGTGGCCAAGATCGGGAGGATAGACGGTGGTATAGAAGGCCATCTCCCACGAGCCTCGCAGCCATCGGAACCAACGTCCCGTCACCGCGCGGGCTGGATCGTGATCATCAGTTATATATGGAACACCTAGGTTCCCAATGTCTATGATTCTTGTGAGCCCGAAAACTGAGATTGAGATGATCGCTAGTTTCTATCATCAGGCCATTATTATGAGCTATAATGTTCATCCCATACTACATGGAAACATGTGTGAGCTTGAGTATATACGTACTAAATGTCGGTGAATTGTTTGGATTCTTTCCTGATGTTTACGGATCAAACATCGACCATAAAACGCGCCAAGTAAGACAAAAGGTAACCAACTATGAAGAAAAGAAAAAACATTCACATGTAAAATGAAGTTGAGTTTTCTTTTATGTTTTGATGGTGAAGTAACATGGTTGAGGGGATTAAGACAGGGATTCGGAGTCGAGAGAAGACTTACCCTATCGGGGCAAAGTTGGACACCATTCCAAACCTGGGATAAGCCGACATTTGAGGAGCTTGAATGACAAGAATCAAATGAGAAATACGATTTTATATCCAAAACAAAAGAAGAGGAAAGAAAAAAAAAAGACAGACTAGGAGTGAAGAAGAACCAAAACCAGTATGAACGGGTGAGTGAAGATTCGATCCACCAATCAGGGTCCGGATCTTCCCGATCGCTGGGCAACATGTAAGCGATCAGCAATGGCAAGAGGCCGGATCCGATGAGCAGGAAGGCGTCGATAGCCCATCGTATCCGATCTGCCCAGCCTCTCATCCATTCCGTCGTCTTCACATCCTCATCTTGATCCTCATCTGTCTCATTCTCTTCCGGCCTTCTTCTGATCGGTTCTTCTAGTAAACTGCCACGCGTCTTCGTGTACAGATAGTTTAGAATCGCTCGTTCAGCCAGGAATAGGCCTATCAGGATCGTCGTGATCATCACCAAATTCCATCCCAACGACCATATCGGTAGGGTCGTCAAAAAAACTGAAACAATAACCCATAAAACAGCGAGAGTTTTTTTTTTTTTTTGCGCAATCGTAGGTCTTGAGCGCTGGGTCATGTATCTCGAGCTTCAGTTTATCGGCCGGGTTAGTTATAACAGAGACATACCTTGGCCGCGCGTTTGGAAAATTGTTTGAGACATCAATAACTGATTCAATACCTATATGTGAGACAAAAGGTAATTATACAGTGAAAAAGTTAGTATATGAGCGACAAGAAATAATTGCTTCTAAGGATTTTTTTTGGCAGACCAATAGACTTAAACCAAGCTTCAAAGACCTGAAGAAGATTTGATGCGACCTCCAGCCCAGGCATTTCCTGGTATGGATAGCGAGTACGGCTGAAGAGCCCAAGACGAAATGCAATGCTGGCGAACAAATCAGCTGCAAACACGAAAACTTGAGGTTATTTTCTCTCTTTCCAAAAAAAAAAAGGAACAAGATGGGAAAGTGCTGAACTGTTAACAGATGAATCGTGTACTGCGAGGGATGGCTTAATGGGAACTTGATGTGTTGGTGCCAGTAGGGTGTAAATGGTTGGTTGGAATTTGAATATGGTCCTATGAATTGATTAGCTGTATAAATGGTTTCTATTTACGTTTTATTTTTTTATTTTTTTTGATGATGATAAATGGATAAAACAGGTGATCAGTTAAATAAGTAGTGAGCTGGAATATTAACAAAGGTTTATATGTACGTATAGATAAGATGATAGCTTTGAAGATATCGAGTGTCATGAGGAATCTAGATTTCTTGAAGAGGGGATTAAAGCAAGGGAGTGGGAGCTGATTTGAGTTAAGGGCTGAGTGATGGAGGTCGAGGTCGAGTCCGACGGGATCGACTGAGAGGTCATTCTCGTTGAGGGCCACCGAGGACAGCAATCCTTCTTGGGAGTGCGAGTAGTTGAGGATGAAGTTGGTGATGGTCGAGTGAGGCTGGGTGGGTATGAAGAAGCGGACCGAGGTGGGTCTTTGATTGTTCTGGTTCTGATCGCGAGTAGCTTGTTGGTGGAGCAGATGACTGGTTTCGTTTGAGCTTGCTGGTTGGTTCATCGAGATTCGAGTGAGTTGGTTTCTGTGATGGGGTTGGGTTGGGTTAGGTTGGTGGTGGTGGTGGTACTGGTGGTGGTGGTAAGACTATGAGAGTGGTATGACAAGAAGCCAACTGCTTATGTAATGGCCACCCACTCCACTCAATTGCACATCACTTGGCAACTATCTACTGAGCTACAAAAAATAAAGAAAACAACCCAAGATATTGTCGTCAAGTCAATTTGTCAAAACAAGATATTCAACAGATAAAAGACCATAACATACATTCACAGATCATCAAGTGCGCGTTTTCGGAGAACACCGGTGGCATGGGCAACTGAGATCATCAAAGAAGGCTTGAACGAATTGATTCTCACATAGCCTGCAAGAGGCTAAACATCCGTTGAGGCATGTAACTACTATGAAATAGTATCTTGGGTAACTCCCTTAACACCTCCATAGCCCTATGCATAAGATCTTCCTAACTCTAATCCTCGGCCCGGTGCCCCTAAACCTTTACCACTTTCAAATTGCACATTGGTAAGGGCCTGGTCCGTAGGATTGAATTTTGAAAAAATATGGACATTTTTTTCAGTCTTCTAAACAAAGATTGACAACAAGGGGAGAGATGTGGTGTTGAAATTCTTCATTTTTTTGGGCTTGTAAATGGCCTAAGGTGATGGTCACTCTTGATCATAAGAGATTTGGAGGAAGATAAATTCTGAGAAATTCTGAGAAATTGAATTTATATGCCATACAGTACAGGCCCTAAGTTACTTTTCTTGAATTATTCCATGATTTGGAACCTCCGCCAACCGCTTCTTACTACATTTCTCAACCCCATCCACTTGTTGCATCCTTCAGTGAAGTGCCCTGGTTGCCAACATCTTTGATATAGTTTTGCTCCCCTTCACTCAAGAAGTTGCCGCCTCAGACACCTCATTTGACATACCAAATGCATTGAACTCCCTCTTTTCCCTTTATTTTTCTCCCTTCTTTCTTTCATGAATCTTCTTGACTTAGACTGAATTGTAGGCTTTCACTGCTGGTTTTGTGTCAAATCTTATGCACTTCTTGTAGTCTAATTAGAACTATCAATAGCAATTATATCAACAACTCCTGTCTTTATGATTGATTCCTTTCATTTTCCATTTCACTATTTGATTCCTAAAAAACTAATCATTAGGAATTAACACCTTCAAATATTTGTGCTAGAATTTCTGATTTTGCTTGATTAACTCTTCTTGTCTGACTAAAAGAGACTGAGAAGTCTGGCTAAGATTGTTTCTTCCAAGACTTCAAATTATTCTATCTCTTGGTATTTATTCAACTTTCCTTTCTTATTCAATTCGCCTCAACCACTGTTTGACCACTTGTATTTAGTCTATTTAATTTGGCTGACTACTTGTGAATAAAAATCATTGGTTCTTCCACTCTTTTTACGTGAACCTCTCCCAAAAACGGCCTTCAGCTTTTTTGTGCCATTTTCTCAACTTCTTCAACTTTAGCCTGTCTTGAGCTCAAAAATTCAACAGATCCATCAAAAAACTACTTGCAATGACTCTGAGACTGTCACAGTAGATCATTCCAAGCCCATTGGCCAACATACCAAACACCTATTCAAGATTGAGTATTGATGCTCCTGCTATGGCCACCATGAAAAAGCCCCAACTCAAAAAAGAAGGTCAAATCACGCAAGATTGGTTGTGCAGCTCAATTCACTGTGTCCCACCATATGTTAACCAACTCACTCTGTGTGGTTTGGTGGTGGGACCACAATCATAACCCTTATTCACCACATGAGGATATGACCATGCAACAATGACCTCATGTGGTGAACCAGTGGCTGAACAAGTATATAGGTTGTTGCAGGCCTTGGATGGCATGCCATTGAGAAGATTCCTAGTTGCCCAGATCTTTTTCAGGTATGTAATTTATCTTTCCAAAAACCTGAAATTGAATGATCTAATGACTCATTCTCTTGATTGATTTGTTGAACAGTTGGATGAATCAAAGCCAAATCATGCCACAATTGATCATGTATATTCACACAGCTCACTTTTAAATCTAATACTGACATGGCTACAACAATCCACTGGACTTATGGTGTGCTCATAATTACTATTGCCATAGCAGACACCTACCAACCTGCTGGCCAGTACACACCCCAGCATTAATGGTGCTTGTTCCATGTGCTGAAGGCCTATGGGGAAACTGCAGCCCAATATCTGCACAAGTGGGCTGACAAGGCTATCAAGGATTTTCAGGAGCTCATTTATAAGGAACTGTCAGATCCTGAGGCCAGCTATTGTTTGTTCCAGGAAAAATGGGACAATGTCAACCCAAAGTTTGCAAATTATGCACACAAACAGTGGTACAAGCATTATTTGAAGTGTGCTGCATGTTTCCAACCAGTGAAGGAATTTTGACCAAAGACGGGGGGAAATTCAGAGAAAAACGTTTGGGCAACAAAAAACAAGCTTTGTTGGAGTGGCTCAAGGGTTGGAAAAAGAGATAGAGAGAGAGCAAATGATTTTTATTCACTGTTAGAGCCTACACTTTAAATAGACTGCATACAGTGAGTTCAATATGTTGTTTGAGAAAAGATTAGAGATGGTCCGGAATAATCCGTTGCGGATATCCGCCATCCGCTGGCGGATACCCGCCAGTGCCAGCGGATACCCGCCAGGGGGTGCGGATTTGGGTGCGGATGTCCTTTTCCCCCCAAAATACTGGCGGATATCCGGGTATCCCTTGGGATACCCGGTGCCAAGAGAGTGAAAAGGTCTTTTTTTTACAAAAAAAAAAGAAAAAGACAACAAACTGCCCCCCCTCGGCCTATATAGGCCATGCCGCCGGGAGGAACCCCACCCGGCGAGGTGGTACACAGACCAGCTCGTCGGAAGGGATTGCTTCCGACGAGCTGGTGCTCTCGTCGGGAGGAATCTCTCCTGACGAGGTACATGCCAGCTCGCCGGGAGGGGGGCCCCTACCGGGAAATGGTTTCTTTCCGCTCTTCGGGGGGTTTTCCTCAGGCCCGCCACATATTAACTCATTGCCTGAGGGCTCTCCAGTCAGACCGCGGTTCTGTTGGGAGAATCCTCCCCGCGAGCTGTGTGTCACCCAACTCACCGGGGGGGGGTATTCTCCTGACGATCGGGGTTCATACCACTCTTCGGGAGGGGTCCTTCCGCGAGCCCGATTTTAACAACTCGCCAGAGGAGTCCATCCCTGGCGAGCTGGGCTCTTTCGGGAGGAATCCCGCCGACGAGCTTGTGTACATATCAGCTCGCCGGAGGGAGTCGGGCTCCTCCCAACGGCCTGGTTTGACATCCAGCTCGACGGGAGGAACCCCTCCCGACGAGCTGGTATGTACACACTACACCGGCTCGCCGGGAGGAATCCTCCCGGCGGCGTGGCCTCTCCTCTCTAGGCCGAGGGGGGCCAGTTATTTTTCTTTTCTTGTTTTTTTGTAAAAAAAAAAAAATCCCCCTTGCCAGCGTCAGCCAGTAAGAGGGCGGGTATCCGCGGATACCCGCCAGCGCCGGCGGATACCCGCAATCGGATGCGGATGCGGATGTGGATGCCTGATTCCGCTGAAATTGTCAGCGGATATCCGCATCCGCGCGGATATCCGGATCCAACGCGCCCATCTCTAGAAAAGATGAATATCAAAATGAATAACACAAATTAATCATATGCTTGAAAGGATGACTGGAATAAATGAAAGTTAATAAAGACTAGACCAGGGTTCAAAGACTACAAGGATTTCAGCACTAGACAACATGACAAGATACCACACAGAAACCATCAAAAACAATATGAAAATTATATGTATTACTTATCTGATCTTGATTATTCTAAGGTTGAGATAGATGAGTCTTTTGGGGATGACAAGCCTTCTCTGAAGGGAGTGTGGGAGTGTGTGTGCGAAGGGGGATGGAGTGTGATTATCACTCCCCGATGCCAAGCATATGTTTTTTTTGAAAAAGAGGTTCAGTGCTTAGGCATTGAGTGGGTTGCTGTGGGCCTACTAGTCAATGCTGTGCCACAAATGGGGCCAGAAACCATGCTGATTGGCAAGGTCAAGTTCATAGACAGTCAAAGTGATGACAAAGACCCAGCAGATGACAGTCCTCCGCCTGTTGAAGGAAACAAGGATGAATTGAACCTGAAATTCATGCTGTACTCAAGAGTGCACCTGGTACAAAAGTCAAGACAAATGCTCAAGTTTGTTGCAAACCACTGGGTGATGCAAATTCACAGCTCTGTGATTGCTGCAAATAGATTGAAAGAGTGATGTGAATCATTTTGTTTGTTTGTGGAGTAAATATGTAAAGGTGTGTCAGTCACTCACCCTAGTACAATTTTGGAGATCCCTCAGACTGGCAGTGGCAGCATGACCGGGGCCAAAATCAAAGCACTGTTTGGCTCAATTGTCAATGAGATTTGGGATTGTGTCAAGTGGACATGCAACCTTGTAACAAAGATGTGTGAAGGAATTGTTGAGTTTTTCTCAGTTCTGTCTCTCTCTGCCCTTCTTCTCTTTCTAATCACCTTAAATCAGACTGAAGTTGTTTTTCCAAGTAGCTATTTTTTGGTTGTTTTCTGAGTCCTCTTTTGAGTCAAATTTGAACCTTAAGAAAATAAGCTCAACTCAATCACTCTTGTCTCTACAGTATTAATTTCTTCTTTTTCTGGTTTATTGTCTGATATTAAAAATTGGTTAACAAGAATTAACGCCCCTTGTTATTTGTGATTTAAAATACTTTGTCTTGACTAACTCATCTGGCATGACTACAAGAGACTGAGAAGTTTTGTCTAGTTTGTTATTTTCAAGAACTTATTTTCTCTTCTCTCAGTTTTTATTCAAAAAGCATTCTTTATTCATTTTTCTTTCAACCACTTTTTGACCACTTGTACCTAGTCTATTCAATCCTGGCTAGTTGCAAGTGAATGAAAACCATTGGTTCTTTACACTCCTTTCCGTGAGCCTTTCCTAAAAAAAGAGTTCTTCCCTTTTTTGGCCCTCATCCTCTTATGCGCTTGAGTCATAAATTTCAACAGGAATTGCTCTCCTGAATCAATGGGTGCTTTCAAGGAGGCTTGCTGCGGGGATTCATGAGAAAATCAAAGAAGGTTTTTGACAGCCTGAAGGGAGGAAAGATCGATAAATTTGTGGGGTTACTTTGTTAAGATAGCAATGAACAACACAAAGGAAAACAGTACAGGTGAGTAGGGGCGTAGTTGATCAAGTGAGGTGGTAGGGTGATGTCTATTTACATTGCAAGCAGTCTTCATGAAGAGATGCTACTCACCATTCAAATTCTCCTTTTTTGTTTCTCATGAATTTTGTGGCTCATTTTCATGCTTACACATCATTCCTACTTTCTCTCTTTTTGCGGGTGTTGTTTCTTGTGTTGCCTTGGCCACTCATGACAATCCCTTTTGTTGTTCTTGCTCATCATTTTCATTTTTTTGTCAAATTTTGTTGCTCATTCTTATGGATGTACAACTGTCAATTAGAGATGGCAACGGGTACCTATTCTGCTGCGCAGGTACCCGCCTGCGGGTGCTGGGTTTGGGTGTCAAGTTTTGGGACAAAAAAATGGCGGGTACCCGGGTACCCACCTTGACACCCGCTACCCGGGTTCAAAGTGACATCTCTACTGTCAATGCCATTCCTTTAACTTGAAGATGTTTCATTGTTGGTCATCCTTATGTAGGTACTACCAAGGATGTAACAGATCCGATCCCCGGATCGGTATTTATCGAGGATCGGATCGAAAATGGACCCGATACCGATACCTGGTATCGGGTCCATTTTTGATCCAATCCCCGATAAATACCGATCCGGGGATCGGATTGCTTACAGTTTGGATGATACCCAAGTGTAAGGCATACAGCCCGCAGCATTTGGGTGCCGGATCGGGATTGCAATGCGATCCCGATCCCCCATCCGATACCATTTCGATACAATACCATGGGATCGGATCACCCTTAGCAATCCGATTCCTTATTTTTTGATACCTGGTATCAAAAAATTGATCCGATCCGATAAATCGGCCGATACCGTATCGGATTGGATCTGTTTCACCGTTGGTACTACTGTCAATGTCACTTCTTTAATTTGACAATGTTTCATTTTTTAATGGTGACTATGGACTTATAATGGGACCATTGCTACAAAATCTCTAATCAGCTAGCGCTTACATTCATTTTTGCTAATTATTAACAAATGAGTGTATTGTTACTCTGGGGAACACCACGGGGGCACCCAGGCGTCTCAAACCAATTGGATGGGAGACACCTTTTTTTCATCAAGATTGGCCAACCATCAGCAGAAGCCAGTTGTCAGAATAATAGGGAAGAATTTCAATGTTAGATCCCTCTGTACTTGTACAATTCTGTGTAGAAGGCAGAAACAATGCCCATTTTTCAAAATTGAATCCCATGGGCCTGGCCCTAATTGACGTAGTATCAGGATCTCAAGGAAAATATTCAAGTGTAAAATGGAACCTTGACTGCCATCAAAGACTCCTAGTCTTGAAAAGAAGTTGTAGCAATGCAACAGGTACATGCTTGGTAACTGAAACTATCTCTCGTTTTTCAAAAAAAAAAAAGTGATTTGCTGGGTCAAAGTAGACATTGAGCGTTACAGGGAGGAAGCACGGAAGGA